CGGCTGCCCCTGTCAGGGCATCCCGTGTCAGCCCTCCTGCTTGCCTGCAGGTCTGTTCGCCACATTCGACCAAGTCGAGCAGACTCTTCATACTTTTGCTTGTTAGTAGACCTATTTGTAAGACTACTTTGTGTGCAGTTCATCCAACCACTCGTCCACCTCGACCCATCTGTCCATCCTTCGGTTCAGCCATTCATCCATCCACCTAAAACGGAACGCATCCCTCCACCGATCCATCCGTCCATTTATCCAGCCATCCAACCATCCTAGCAATGTCTATCTACCCATCCATCCATTCATCCATCCATCTGTCCAGACAGCCGTCATTCCATACGTCAATTTATTCATCCATCCGCCCGTCCGTCCATCCATCAATCCATTCTTTAGCCATCTACACACACAGAGGCATATTCGTCCATCTAGTAAACAGCGGTGGCTGGTGAGTGTGCAACTCTGGCATCATTGCCGGCTTGAACCGAGCCGTCGAACTATTGGGGGCAAAAGAGCAGCATGTATCCACCAAGATGGCGACTATGCAAACAGTCAGTGTATGTACATGAGTGTGTGTGTGCTCGTGTCTGCTTGGCGCTGCTGCACAGGCGCCGACGCCATCGGAAAGAAGTCGCCGACGTATGCAAACAAATTACACAACCCGAATCACATAGCCAAGAGGGAATAGTTACATATCGGCCATGATTACACACTTACATATGCTCATGACAAAACACACGCCCACACACTGCACACAAACACGCACAAACAGACTCACACATGCATATCTAGGACAAATGAACATGAGTGTATGCATGCTGAAAGAAGCCCTAAAAGCTTTCCTATAAAGCGGGATGGGAGAAATGTGCTAGGGCCGAAAGGATGAGAGTAGGCGGGGAGATGAACAGAAAGATAAGGTTCAAATTGTGGAAATACGTTTCAAACCGGCCAGATTAATAAGTGCGCTAGATTTACTTGCCTTTCTTGAGCCATATGCATATACTATACATATTCTACCGAGTTATTGCATGCATGCATACAAACAAACATACATATATACATAAATACACACATAAAAATAAGGGATGATAAGGATTAAATTTCGCCGTGCCGATTGGCACGAATTCATATGCACAAAAGCAGACTAATTCTTACGCGTGTACATCATACACGTAGCTGAAAAAATTTTTTTTCATCAAACAACCAGAGACTGGAGAAATTTGGAGTCTATGATGTGATGAGGCTGGGATCATACAAGAGAATGGACAAAGCAAGAAAAGCTTAAATAAAAAAGAAATTGTCAAGTGTGAAGATAGTACTAGGCCTCAGCTTTGGGTGCCAAGTTTCTCCAGAGCGACGGTCTGGTGCAAATCGGTGATACCTTGGGCGAAACAGACGATGGACGATTTGATTATACGCCGGTGTTCTGAAGCAAATGAACTAGCCTCAGGAGAAAAGGTCCATAGCACGATCCTCTTGACGCTCGAAGTCAACTTTGTGGACGGTGGAGGAAGAGGTACGAAAAAACAATATCAAAGTAATCGAATCAGCGAAGAGGCAACGAGCAAATCCGATTTTAACCGACTTCATCGTAATACAGGATCATTAAAAAGAGACAAGAGCACAAATATGCCCCACTCCTACCCCAAGGCGAAATGTTTAAAGAACACAGACAATTAAGTAAAATGGACCCATTCGAACGTGAATCAGGTAGCACGCGCAAAGTCAACTATTTGAATGTTCTGCATTCATTGCATTCACAACAGCAATTCGATTGAAACCCAATGTTACAGAAACAAGATGTATGACATTCTTTTGCTGAACGCTATTCGAATTTTCTATCAAATTTTGCCTCACTCACTGAGTTCACAAGGTTATCTGAGTAGATAATGGAAAAAAATTTAGAGTGAAAATGCATCGTGAAAGAGGATGCCAAATGCAACTTGTGAGGCATACATGAAAGCTAACGAACCATCATATCTATCAGATAGCGATTGAGTAAAAAAACATACCAGATGAAGACGGCTGAATCGCGTTGTACTGTAGCCGTTTGGCTTAGCACATATAAAACAAGATAGAAATAGGCTGAATTTAGTGGCAGTCACCAACCAAAGTAGATTCCTGATACGGAAAAAAGGTCTCGTCTCAGCACTTTTCGAGAATACTTCATAAGTACGAAAACACTGTCGAAAGAAAATAGAAGACTGTTGTGGAGACCTTCATTTCGTATGAAAATGAATGGTGAAGAGATTTGTAGGTCGATCCTGCCAGAAAATGGCGGCTGAGTTCCGTGTTTCTGCAGACATGTTTGGTTTTAAAACCACGTTTAGATCGACGCATTCCACGCGACATCCTTCCTCGTTTCGAGTGAAGACCAACTGAACATATGTTCGTCATGCAACTTAACGAACATTATAATAACTGGGATTCACTTTTGCAAAAGCCAAGAATAAACACTGAATCAAGAAGGCTGACCGGCTCTGTCCTACATGATATATATACTTATAACGATAGATGGATATAAAATGGTTTGGTTATTCCTATTATACTCGTGTACGTGTGCGTGTGTATTTTAAAATCTGTACGAAATACCGATCATAACTCAGTGTAATTAGATTAAATTGTTGGAAAGACATTCATATCAGTCCTTCATCGCCTTAACGAAATAGAGTGATACCTCTCATATATACGCAATGAAAGTCTCCCAACAATGCTATATTATGAGATTTATCGAAACCTAGTCACTTTTCGAATCTATTAGCCCCAGATCATCGATGCATAATGGTCCAAATGGAGAAGAATATGGCGCATAGGAGGGTGATTGAGAAGAAGTATTACGAGCTTGGAGTTCATGGTCCTCTCAAAATTCTGGAAACAAGATGCAGTTTCGAGATTCTTTTTCCAAGAATGACTGATCATGCCTCGAGG